ATGGATGTTGAAAGTTCTGTTGGCTGTTTTCGGTTAGCTATTTATGAATTGTCGTTTCCTCATTAGGGTGATATTTGTTTGATTCATTTTCCTCTTGGGTGATGAATGCTTGTCTAGTTTTAGTTGTTGTAACCCTTTAAAGGGGTAATTTGTCGTTGAGCTAAAATTGGTTTGTCGTTCGCTGAATTCCAACTAGATTTGACGTTTGGAATTGCTTAGTCGTTTAGGAAGCTAAGAGAAGAGGGAGACCGAGATAGATGGGTAAACTTAGCGAAAAAGGAGATGATTGAACTTGGTGGCTTGATGTTATTCTTCTTCTCCTGGAATGTGGTTATGAGTTGTTTTTGTGAATGAAATGTGTGATCTGTATCATGTGTTAGCTCTTACTTGAATTAGTTGATGAATGTTCGTGATGGAGATGCATGTAAATAAACAAGTACCGATTCATATAGGGAAACACGTGTACAACAAAGAATTATTATTTTGCCATATGTCCCTGAAGATAAGGAAGTACATGTTTAAGTTGCAACCGATGTGTTATTGACTTTGAAGAATAATTGGAGAGAAAATCAGAAGTTTTGAGAATGCATGAGAGCTATGACTCGAAATCCTTGTCTTATTTACTAATATTTCTTTTCTTACCGCTTACGAACACCATTTTCAAAGAAGCTGCTAATTTACTGTATATCAATTTTGTACTCTAATAAAGTAGTTACCTGTTTACATAATGTCCTTGTGCACCATGCCTGAATAGGAATACCAAGTTCAGCTTTTAATTAGGTTACCGTATAGTCCATATTGTTATCCATATGAAGGTTCACATTTAAAAAACGGAATGTAGATCATATTACATTGCTATCAAATCCATATTATTCAAGTTCCATTCACAATATTATCTGACTGGATATGACAAATACTAGTTAAAACCTGAGCAAGACACTGGAAATTACCCTGAGAGAATTGGAGTAACTTTTGGCAATTTTCTGACCTTACATAAAACTAATTTATGGTGATTCAGGTTATATGCAGTCGTGTTTGTTCAGGACATTTTGAAAATTATATTCTGACTGATCTTTTCCACATTCCATCTTATCCAGAAATCCCTTATATCGTTGTTCTCAAATTGCTATCATTGTGATTGTTTGAGCTTTAATGGAGGTTTATATAATATGCACAATGTTGCAAAACTGTAGCCTAACAAGTGCTATGCATTGCAGTCAAAATGGGAAGTTTAGCTATGGATATGCTAGCTCCCCGGGAAAAAGGTCCTCCATGGAGGATTTCTATGAGACAAGAATTGATGGCGTTGATGGAGAGGTAGTTGGTCTCTTTGGAGTTTTTGATGGTAACTCTTCTTTCTCTGTAACTTCTACCTGACTGGAATGAAGTGCATGAACTAGAGTGAATGAGAAAAGACATATCTTCATTTGTTTTTATGTTTAAGCATTTCCATGTCATTCAAGATTTGGCAAGTAAGACATTCAGTCTGATGACTATAAATTTGTCTTAAATTTTGTGGTTGGATCAATGCTGTTTCATACTTCATAGATCCTTATATTTTTTTCTGTTTATATTGGGTTTTGAAGGCGAAGCTTGAGGATTGTTTCCATTGTCTTTTACAAGCATTTTTTTGGGCCAAATACATAGACAGTTGGACCCCTAAACTAATTCGGAAATTCTATCTAGCCACTTGAATTAAATTTGTTTCCATTTGAACATTAGATCTTTATTCAAATTGTGCCATTTAGACACGTTTTTCTCAATAATCTCAAAGTAAGATGCGTGTGTTCACACGCGTTGACATGGAGAAACAACCAATTTAGCAATGCCACATGATTTTTTTAACCCAAAAATAATTTTTAGGAAAGATATTTTGACCAAAGGAATAAAGTTATCCTTCAGTAGACCAACGCCGCATGGTTTTCTTACCCAAAATAAATTTTAAATAAAAATGACCATCTTCATCTCCTTCACCCGTACACCACCTTGTCCCCAAAAACACTATCTTTTCCAATTAGCAATCACCATCTGCACCTGAATAAATTCATCAAATTAAGAAGGAAGCTTCCTACCCTCCCTCTCAAATTCCTCATGCAACTTTTCCTCCCCGGCTGCCGCATCTGCTGCATCTTTTGTTGCTCTAAAACGTCTAGATCCTTGCTGGTTCATTTTTGCCCTTGGTGCAATACCAATGTGTATATCTTTGTTAATTTTTTGGAGGCTGCTTAAAGATAATAATTAGACAGTTCCAATTTCATGCCAAGTTGGTCAAATGTTTTCCAATTGGATATTTTTACCTGCATTTTGCTCTTATTTCAGGTCATGGAGGTGCTAGGGCTGCAGAATATGTGAAACACAACCTTTTCAGTAACCTGATTAGGCATCCAAAATTTATCTCTGACACCAAATCTGCCATAGGTATGTTGACGTACTGTGAAGTATCTTGCTATGTTCCTTTTCACAAACAACTTATCTATATCTTTTGCCATTCATATATTTGTTTCTGCAGCTGATGCGTACAACCATACAGACTCTGAGTTTCTGAAATCAGAAAACAATCAGCACAAAGATGCTGGATCAACTGCTTCTACTGCCATACTTGTGGGCGATCGTCTACTTGTTGCAAATGTGGGCGATTCTAGAGCTGTTATCTGCAGGGGTGGCACAGGTAAGGCTTAGGCGATTTGATTCTTATTTGGCTTTTGGTTCCTGCTCATAGTATTTCACCCCAAAAGTATGATGCATTTTGGTATATAATATCTGGGTTAGAGCAACCTCAAGAGTTTGTTATGATTTTGGTATCCCGCGATATTTGGTTGTTGTCGTACTAAATATGTCTAAAGGTAAGTTATTCTTATTAAGTTTTACTTTTCTAATTACTCGGTCTTAACACTATGATGACCTGCACTGTAAATGTAAGGTTTCACTGCTCTTTGAAGTCAGGAGAACAAGATGGGATACTTTAACTTTTGTTTTAGAGAGAATGGAGTAAAATAAAAGTGCATTTGCATATTGATGGTATGTCCTGAAATATTGTGGGAATATGGAAGATGTCATGCTAGCACTTCCAATAATACATATTTCTTAATCCAATAAGAAGGCATTCTTTTGCATTGCACTTCATGTCTTGGTTCACCATTGTTTTGAATAAGTCAGATAGTTGATCGAGAAACCACTGCCAAAGATTAAAACTTAAAGAAATTGGTAATTGGTGCTAGTTCGTTTCTTCTCTTTCTTCTTCAACTCCCATGAACAGTTTGTTGTTACTTGCTAAGTTGATCTGGTAATCTTTATAATCCTGCTATACTATCTTGGCGAATGAATGCAATGGTAAATTCGCAGTGTGACAAGGAGGTCAAGGGTTCAAGCCCCAAAACTAGCCTCTGCAATATAAGGTTGCTAACACAAGACCCAATGTGGTTCAGCCCTTCTCTGAACCCCGTGTATAGCATGAACTTAGTGTACCAGACTGCCCTTTTTTTTAAATGTCTGTTACAGTACGGTACATCTTTGATTAATAATTCATTATGACCCTGTAGTTTTACTCAGTCACCTGATTGGGGATGCTAATTTCATTCTCAGCTATTGCTGTTTCTCGAGACCACAAGCCTGACCAAACAGATGAGCGACAGCGCATTGAAGATGCTGGAGGTTTTGTGATGTGGGCAGGTAAGCCCATCACATTTGACAGTCAGTTTTTAGTCGATTGATTTTTTCTAAATCTCGTGCAAGTCTAAATATAACATATTGTGTTGCAGGTACCTGGAGAGTTGGAGGTGTACTTGCTGTTTCTCGTGCTTTTGGCGATAGACTTTTAAAGCAGTACGTTGTCGCTGATCCAGAAATACAGGTGACTTGAAGAACTTGTTTATTATTTCAATATATGACTACATGTTTCGAAATGAATATCAAATGCTCTGTGTGAATGTATTTATATTTTTCAACCTATTTTCTCGATGTATATTTTGGCACATTTCGGAAACTGTTTAGTAGTTGGTTCTCATTGTATCACATTCCCATCTTTTTCAGCCTTATGCCCAACAGACTCTTCCTGCTTGATTGCATTTTCCATCTCATTATAATTTTAGGACATGTCTTAAGTTTTCGATAGCAGCTGATAGCATGTTTCTTTTTGGAAGACACTTTGATTGAATCTTTATTGCTCTTTTATTTTTTCCACATCTTACATACCTTAATGTTTTTGGTGTATTTGCGGACATAATTTTCTGTTCAAAACACAGGAGGAAAAGGTTGATGGCTCTCTTGAATTTCTCATCCTTGCAAGTGATGGACTCTGGGATGTTGTGACGAATGAGGTTAATAATTCTTCCCTTTTTTCTGAGTTAGATATCCAATCCATCGCCATGGTTTCACTCTAAATATCAAGTAGTTTATAGTCAATTCCCAGTTTGATCATTACAAATAAATTTACAGGAGGCTGTCTCGATGGTTAAGCCGATCCAAGATCCTGAAGATGCAGCTAAGAGGCTGATGCAGGAAGCATATCAAAGAGGCAGTGCAGATAACATCACCATAGTGGTTGTCCGTTTTCTCGGTAACCAAGAGGGTTCCTCACGTGGTGCCTCGGCTTAAAAAGTAATTGCCACTTCTAACTCGTGGTAATTAGACAACAAGAAAGCACATCCCATAGGATGTTACGTAAATATTGAATATAGATAGACTTCTGGGTTTATGATGTAAGGAACCTTTAGAATTGAACATTGTCAAAGCTTTCTCTAACTTGTAAGAAATGTTCAAGAGTGAATCTGGCATAGTCAAATCCAAATTTGTTGTTGTTCTATGTTACATACAGTAGTAGCTTGCTAATATATGCTGTGTTTTCTTGTAATTCCCATTTTATTGCATTTTGATTCACTAGTGTATAACAACATTTGTTATATTATATCTATATATGAAGTGAACAGAAGTATGTATATACAGTCCAACTTTTCTATAACAGTCATCTTTATAACTATATTTCACTATAACAACCACGTTTTAGTGTGGAGTGATATTTCATGTTATGTTATTGTCGCTATAGCAGCCAAAGATGTCCAGACAAACGACGTTGTTATAAAGAGTTGTTGACTGTACTTTCTTCTCCCACCAAAACTTTACCAGTAGTCTTTACAAGAACATTCTCCACCTTTAAAATGATGAAACCTATTCCTATCTCTAACGATGATTTCGCGATCATAAACCTTTGAGATGAACTTACTTGCTTGATGACAGTCCTTGCAAACGCGTAAATTCTTTGTGATTCGAAGAATTTCCCCAGGTTTGCTCTTCAATAACCCGAAAGCAATAGCTAGTTTCTCACTATGATAGTTCAAAGGATTCTCTGTTTCTTCCTCATCAATATCATGTTGCATTCCATCAGAATCTGGAAAATAGCCTGCAGATTTTATACGGTCCAGCATTTCGTTTACTTTTGCATATATCTCCTTGGCTTGAGGATGAGTTCTTCCTCCTGCAATGAACTCGTTAACAACGCCTTCTAATTCAACAATGGAGAAGCCAGGGACCTTTTTCACTCCCCTGTCATTCATCAACTTTCTTATACTGGCAACATCTTCCCATCTACCTGCATAGGCATATAAGTTAGCTAGCAACACGTATCGACCACTGTTCTGAGGTTCTAATTCGATCACTTGCTTCCCTATCTTTTCTCCGAGCTCTATGTTCTTGTGAATCCTACATGCGCCAAGAAGAGCACCCAATACACCTACATCAGGACTCATAGGCATCTCATTTATGACCCTTCTTGCTTCCACCAGTAATCCAGCTCTTCCGAGCAAATCAACCAAACATCCATAATGCTCCATGCCAGGTTCAATGCCATACGTTTCCTTCATGTAACGAAAATAGTGTTTTCCTTCTTCAACCAACCCTGAATGAGCACAAGCACTAAGTAGATTCACGAACGTAATGTAGTCTGGAGCTACCCTCTCACTCTCCATTTCCTTCAAAACCTCAATGGCAGCCTCACCTTTCCCATGCATCGCCAACCCTCCAATCATACAATTCCACGACGATATTCCTTTTCGTGGCAACTCTTTAAAGAACTCAACAGCCTTATCTAAGCAGCCACATTTGCAATACATATCAATAATCGTAGCACCCAATTTCGAGTCTAACTCAATCCCACTCTTCTTGACATGTTCAACTATCCACTCACCTTGCTTCAACGCTCCAAGTCGCGTACAAGCTGACAACATACTAGCAGCAAGAAACTTATCAACCACAACACCCTCAGACCCCATCCTTTCGAACAAAGCAAACGCCTCATGAAACCGATTACTCTGCACATAAGCTGATATCATAGCATTCCAAATAACAGAACTTTTCTCCGTAATCGAATCAAACACTTGAAAAGCTTCATCAAGATACCCCAATTGAGCATAACCACTAATCAATGTAGTCCAAGAAACATCATCTCTCTCACACATATTATCAAACACCCTCTTCGCTTCCTCTAAACAACGAAAATTCACATACATATGAATCAAATTATTCTGCGAAAATCGATCAAACCCGAACCCAAACTTCACCACATGACCATGAATCTGTTTACCTTCTTCCACAGCATTGTCTATACAACAAACTCTAATAAGAGGAGGAAAAGTGAAACTATTAGGCCAAACCGAACGTTCCAACATACACAAGTAAAAAAGCAAAGAATCTCTCAGCATTTGAGATTTCAATAAACCCCTAATAACAGTATTATATATAAAAGGATCTGGTTCAGGCAATCTATCAAACACTTGGAGGGCATAATTCAAATCGCCCGATTCGGATATTGCACAGAACTTAATAACTCGACCCATTGCGTCATTGTCATAGGAGAGACCATGCTTGACAATTTGGGCATGGAATTGTTTGAGTTGCGACATTGATGAACATGATTCTAAGCCCCTTAAGGTATTGTTGCTAGTTTGGTGTGACAATGGAGATTGTGGAGTAGGAATAACTTGAAGAACAGAGGTAATAGTTGCTTGCATAGCTATTTGTAAGCTGCTCGCAAAGCTACTTGCAAGAAAAAGTTAGATCTTAATTTATAAGCTACTTCGATAAGTTGCTCGTAGAACTAGTTGAGGAAGGTGGTGACAATCTATAAGCTAATTTAGGAAGTTGCTCGCAAAGCTACTTGCCGATTGCTTTGTTAATTACTTCAGGAAGTTGATCGTAATTTATAAGCTATTTCAATAAGTTGCTCGTAGAGCAATTTGTAAGCTAGCTGAGGAAGCTAGTGATGATTTATAAGCTAATTTAGGAAGTTGCTCGTAAAGCTACTTGCCGATTGCTTTGTTAGTTACTTCAGGAAGTTGATCGTAATTTATAAGCTATTTCGATAAGTTGCTCGTAGAGCTACTTGTAAGCTAGCTGAGGAAGCTAGTGATGATTTATAAGCTAATTTAGGAAGTTGCTTGCAAAGCTACTTGTCAGTTGCTTTGTTAGTTACTTCAGGAAGTTGATCGTAATTTATAGGCTACTTTAGTAAGTTGTTGAGCTACTTGTAAACTAGTTTAGGAAGCCGGTGGTAATTTATAAGCTAATTCAAGAGGTTGCTTGCAAAGCTAGCTACTTGTAAACTAGCTCAGGAAGTTGATGGTAACTTATAGGCGAAATGGTCTGATGGACCCTTATACTTGTATGAGTTTGTATTCTGGGCCCTTTTACTCAATTCTTTGTCAACTGAACCCCTAAACCCATTAAAACTTGGTATTTTGAACCCTTTTTTTGACCTGTCATCCTATGTGGCATTTTTATCTAAAGTGTGTATGATACACATATTTTACGCGCGTGAGGCCTTTGAAAAAGACAAGAAATGACAATTTTTGACCTAATCAAGAGTCATCTTCTTCTCCATTTATGCATTCACCATTGTTGAACAAAAAGAAGCTTTTTTTTTGCTTTTCTACTCTTCAAATCTTTCTGTCATTTTTTTCCCCCCATTTTGTTTTGGTTGCTGCGTGTTGTCTTCCATCTTCTTCAAAGAGCTCATCATTTCTTATGCAAATTTTTTCTTTATCACTTTATGAAATGGTATTCACAAATACAAATTCCTCCTATTGTTCCACAAAAAAATGAATGAACTTATCGATCTTACTCTTCAACAAGTAATAGTGTGTCCTCCAACCTACTCAACATCACCAAAGCCGAACAATATCAATCATTCCAATTTCTGTAAATCTTCACATGACAAAAACATATCCCTCATCTCAAGAACATAGTCTTCATCTTTGAGTGGTAGCTCCACCACCACACTGCGGAGGCAACAAATGTCTTACTGATGCTGCATTTTACTTGTGAGAGCGTTGGAATGAGAGAAGAGAAAGGTGAGAAATTGGGGAAAAAATTGGAAGAAAGAGAAAATGATTTCTCAAATAAAATTTAGGGAGTTTAATTTAATTTTTCCATTTTTTTTCCTATGTGGCAATTAAAAGTGACGTGGAATTTGAGGTGTAGTGGTTGTATTACACGCACCATTGACCTTGTGAAAAAGGGGTTCAAAATACCAAGTTTCAATGGATTTAGGGGTTCAGTTGACAAAGGGTTAAGTAAAAGGGCTCAGAATACAAACTCATACAAGTATAAGAGTCCATCAAACCATTTCGCCTAACTTATACGCTAATTCAGGAAAATGCACAAAGCTACTTGGCGGTAGGGGCGGATGTACATTGTGTGATGAACCCCCTCGGTAAAAAAATTACACTATATATATAAGATTAATTTTTTTGTGTACGTGTATATATTTAAAATTGAACCCTTTGAGCATATGTCAAAGGAGTAGCTCCACGGTTATAGGGTTCAAGATTTCGCTTATGTGAGCTTTTGGGGTCATGGGTTCAATTCTAGGCAACAACATCTTTTTTTTGAATCCCTTGATAAAATTCCTGCCTCCGCTACTGCTTGGTTGTTGCTTTATTAGTTACTTCACGAAGTTGGTTGTAATTTATAAGCTACTTTAGTAAGTTGCTCGCAGAGCTACATGTAAGCTAGCTGAGGGAGTTAATGGTAATTTATAAACTAATTCAAAAAGTTGCTCGCAAAAGCTACTTATAAACTACTTGTAAACTAGCTTGGAAAGTTGGTTGCAGAGCTTTTTAAATACGAGTCACTAAGATTTAATTAAGGCTTATTTTTTTTATATATAACCAACATTTTTTTCGTGTTTTGTCGAGGTGGCATTTGCCTAATTTGGAGTTGGAATATTGAAGTTGATTAATTGCATTTATTTGAAATGTTAACTATTTTTTGAAATTTTTCCATAGTAGGGTTAATGTGACTTCTAAGAGAATATTATTGCAATTGATGATATGTGTAACATATTTTTCTTTTAACAAGAAAAACAACAACATATTTTTGTGTTGTGTGTTGAAACTAATTAATGAAACACATGGACATGTTATAGGACTAGATACTCATTAACATGTTTGAAAAAAAGAACAAGGTGTAATTAATATAACTTTTGACTTTGATCAATTATATTGAAAGATCACCTAATAAACTAAAATTGATTTAGATACAATAGAAATTACTTCATGTATTTATATTGTAATTAGAATTGTGGTTTCGGGGTGGG